AGAGTCAGATCCATGCTCAGAGGTGCTTGGCACATCCTGCACGGGCTATGTCCTGACGCAGTGGGAGAGCAGACATCGCACTATAGCAGGTCCGCGAAAGCGCTTTTAGGAATCTTTGGGCCTAGGATGTCGGGCTCAGTAGAGTTTATGGCTTAGCATCTTTCGACCAGCCAGGAGATGGCATGTAGGGCCGCTGGCCTCCCACTGCGAAACCTAAACTTGGGCAGTTCTCTCAATCCCCAAAGAGCTCAATACCGCTCAGTTAAGAAATAGACCCTAAATCATACTAAGGGTTCATATATAGTTTAAGGTATGTTCCTTCATTAGGGGGTCTTGGGCTCTCTGGGTCCTTGTTTGAGGTACCTAAACATACCGAGATATGCTATTTTTTTCGGTCACGTACCCTCAAACCCCTAAGCCTTCAACCCTACCCTGAACCCTGAACCCTAAAACCTAAACCCTAAACCCCCATCATGTCTCAACCCCCTCAAGAGAACGGGCCAGGTGGGTCTCCGGGCGCTTCACGAAGCTGAGGTCCCCTCGGACTTGCGCTTATAAGGTCTGAGGCTTTTGCCTCCTCTCCCCCCACTTTACCCGCCTTCCTTCAGGACCCCATAACCTACCCCACCTGCTGCGCAATCTCGCTGAAGGTCTTGGGTTTAGGGTTTCGGGCTTAGGCCCCAGAACCTCAGGATAGAGGGTTGCGGGCTTGGGGGTGGAGGGTTTGGGGTAAAGGGCACAATTTACCTTGAACCCCAAACCCAAAGCCCTGAGCTCTCTTTTTCTGAAGCACGGGGGGCCCTAGATTCAATTCGAAGGTCCAGGTTTAGGTTTTAAGGTTTAGGGCTTAGGGTGGCAATCCCAACGGGCAAACCCAAGTATGCGGCACCTACCCACAGGCTGCCTGCCCCCAGATCTTCCAAAGTAGCTCAACCGAAGGAATATCCAAGCTCATACAGGGGTCGACATTTTCGGGGTATAGGGTTTAGGGTTTAGGGTGTAAGGTCTAGGGTTTAGGGTTTAGGGCTTAGGATTTAGGGTTTAGGGTTTCAAGGGTTATTCCACAACTAGCTGCGGTGGCCCTAAGAGCCCTCTGAAAAGACTCCTGGTTTAGGGTTTAGGGCCAGGGTTTAGGGTTTAGGGTTAAGGGTTCTTCTTGAAGTCAAGAAGCGAACATGTAAGACATCGCAACCTAGTTATATAAGCATTTTCTAGATCTGGGCAGGTTGAGAGGACCCCATCCTGTGCGAAACAAAACGCCATGCAAGACTTCGAAGCTGGAAATGAGGTTCCAAAAGAGCTCAAATACCTCCCTCATTGAGTCAAAAACCGTAAATCATCATCGGGTATGCCTTGTATTGTTTAAGGTGCACCCTAAACCCGAAGACCTAAACCCTAAACCCTAAACCCTAAACCTTAAACCCTAAACCCTAAACCCTAAACCCTAAACCCCAATTAAAGGGTTCTGAGCTCTCAGGATGCCTGGTGATCACCTCGTCCTCTGTGGCCTAAGAGCACGCCAAGAACGTACTCAGGGCCCTACAGCAGAGGACGTGCACTCAACGTCTAAGCTCTATGGGGTCTCTCTGCGCGGGTCAGGTGCCTCACAGAATTCGTACAACTCGCCGGCATGAGCCAAGCCACCACCACAGCAAATAAGCCTAGACCCTGAACCCTAAACCTTGAACCCGAAAACCCTAAACCCAAACCCTAAACCCTTAACCCTAAACCGTTCAGGGTTTAGGGTTTAGGCGAAGAACTCATAGTTTCAGAAGGAAGCAGCGTTCACGAAAACTGCCGTCAGACTCCAACCTCCCAGCGCTGCTTGGAAAACCCTTAGTTACGGTATCCTATCAATTGGAAACCTGACATGATGCTCAGGGTGTTTTTGGTTAGCGGACATGCGTCGCCTGTGACCCCAGTGATCTTCGGGGACATGGCCCCATCAGGAAGTTGGAGCACGCCGGAGAAGCTTCTGTGGAAACATGTGCACGAAACCGTTTCTGAGCACGTGGCTTGTAAGTCAGTCTCGCTACGAGCTGGTCGTATTGCGTTTGAGCTGCGGGTTGGCGCCAGCCGGGTACACGGAAAGCAAGAGATAATAGAGAAGGCTTGGCTGAGGCAGCTTTGCTGAACAGGCTTTCAGCAGCACAGCGCGGAAACCCCAGATGGATCAGCAGCAAAGGCATGACTGTCCGGTTGGGAAGACGTGCCTAACACAGCAAACTGCCATGAAGGCTCCAGTGGGGTTTGGGAGCCACTCCCATGTGACCTGAATGTGTTGGCTCGTGGACGGCGCTTCCTTGTGTCATGCAGGGACATGCGGGATAGCAGCTCGCCGGATGCCTGGAGTGCTTTGCCACATGAGGGCATGCCGTCTGACCAGGCAGTACCTGACTTTTCTGTTCAAGCAGTTCGCAGACGGGCGCATCCTCTCTCAGTGTCACATGCCAAGGGAGTCGACGTCCTATCTGAAGCCAGCAGGCAGTGGCCAGTGCCTGTTTCTTCATGGGCATGCGGTGGAGGGATTGGTTTTGCTGTCCTGATTGCTGCTCAGCGTTCTGCGCGGTGCTGTGGCACAAGCTGGCTTTCGTGAAGGACCCCGGCTGTGGCATCTTCATGGACTCCGAGGTCAGCAGCACGCGCGCTACCCGTCAAGGCCCGTTTCCATGTCGAGCAAGTCATCCTCTCCAACAAGGTGGACTTTGTTTCCGTCAACACACGCTTTCAGGCGATCACTAACAAGGCCCTCACGGTAATGCAGGAGAGGTGCTGGAAGCTCGAGGTTGCAGATGGCTGCATGGCGATGATGGCAATCACTCTCCTCACGCGTTTGTCGAGTTGCTCCCGATGGATTTGTTGCGCCCCTGGCTTGCGTGGTAGTTCATGGAGCTGGCGCTTGTTTGGTTTGTGGACTGCAGGACAAGGGACAAGGAGACAGCTTTCTGTCTCGTGATGTCGTGCCTGGCTGGGTACGTCTCTTGCAGTCCATGCCCCTTGATTGGCAGATTTCTGCACCAGGCAGCGGAAGGCTTCCTGAGTGCACACTGCACCTATGCACAAGTAATCAGGGCGCGTACTCCTCTAGCCGACTTGAAATGGGAAATGGGTTCAAGGCTTAGGGTTTCAGCAATGAATTCCTCAAACTAAGGGGCATTGGAGTTTCTGGGTCTTCAGGCTTTGCAGTTTGAGAGCTTCAGGCATACGAGGGCTTGCTGAGGACTCGACCCCCGCAGATCTAAGCCAGGCTCCACTCAGAAAGTAGCTGTAGCTGGCGAATACCGGCTGTCAGTTCTCTTCTGATACTCTAAACCCTAAACCCTAAACCCTAAACCCTAAACCCTAAACCCTAAACCCTAAAACCCAAACCCTGGCCCTAAACCCCAAACCCTACGTTTGCAGTCTTAGGGCTTCGGGTTCTCGATGGGTTCAGGATTTAGGGGCTTGCCGGTGTTCATGGGGCTCAGGAATCAGGAACCTGCCCGACAACAAGGAAATGATACTACAAGCATGGGTCATGAGTAAGCCCTAAACCCTAAACCCTCAACCCTAAACCCTAAACCCTAAACCCTAAAGGCAACGCTATGGGAAAACGGGCAACGCCAGAGACGTGCTGGCAGCACGGAAAGCAAGATTACTGAGAATGGCAGCAGTCCGTTTTAATAGGGGCGAAGCTAAACCCTCCCCGCATCTGAAACCCTAAACTCTGAACTCCAATGATCCCACCACCCTCTCAATTTGGGTTTAGGGTGTAGAGTTTAGGGTGTAGAGTTTAGTGTTTAGGGTTTAGGAAGTAGGGCTTATAGCTTAAAAACACCCCCCGCCCAAAAAAAAACACCTGAAAGCCCTGACAGCCAGCTTCCCAGAGAGCTTGGGCTCTCTGGTCTAAAGATCGCGGCAGACTAAGCGCAGCCTCGCATGCAAGCGGACCCTGCGCCGCCGAATTTCTTGGGGCGTGGGGCTTAGGTTTAGGGTTGTAGGGTTGTAGGTGGTTTAGGGGTTGAGGGATTTAGGGGCCTCCTAATGCCCCTGATTGTAACCTTCGTACCTGAATCCTAAACCCTGCAAGCCCGGCGGCGAGCCCTCTAACCGCTGGTTCCCTTTGTTGCGGCCTCCGAAAGAACAGGACGTGTACTATTCAGAGAACTGGCCAAACAGTTTAAGTTTTAGGGTTTTGCGATTTGGGAGTTGGGTTTTGCGGTTCAGGAGTTAGAGCTTAGGGATTTGGTGTTCAGGAGTTCGGGTTTAGAGTTTGGGTGCGTGCTCTATGCCCCAGCCACATGTGGAAGCGTCCGATGCAAATCATCGAAGTCTTGATCCTCAGGATCTGCTCTACGCCCTGCCACGCCAAACGCCCCGAGGACCCATGCGCCCTAAAGCTTCTGAACTCGGAGCCCACAGTACTGATTCAAGGATATAGAGTTTGGGTTGTGGGTTCAGGGTAAAGCCTGAAACCCAAACCCTAGATCGCAGAGCCTGAATCCTCGGCCCTAAGCAACCCTTCCCAGTTCAACCCCCCAAA